GGGGGCCATTTTTACCTACCTGTCATATGGGGCCATTTTTACCGGGGCCATTTTTTCCGGGGCCATTCTTTCCGGGGCCATTTTTTCCGGGGCCATTTTTTCCGGGGCCATTCTTACCGTACACCAGATTGAAATAGCTGTAAGCTGTAGAATAGCACCTGGATAGCCGGGAATGTGAGTAACATTGCTGTTGTATGCCACACGATCATAAAATAAATAGCATAAAGGCTAGAAAGAATCGTATTCTTATATTTATTTAGGCCAGCATAAACACCAATACACCATGTCATTTTCAATACATATGTGTATTGAAAATAACCAAAATTACATCTTTGTTTTTTGAGAATTAATAAAATATTGATGCATCTTTCTGGTTCTCCCGATCGCCAAGTCACGGTTTTACGTTCGCGAAAAAAAGTAAAAATCCACAGACGTACAGCTACTGTCTTTTTTTTTTTATTATTGTCGGATTTTGGTTTAAAACATTTTATGTTTTAAATAATAACATTAGATTCAGAAATTGTGTATACTTTCTGAAATTTGACCATGATTGGAGCAGTACTGGCTGAACTGTGTCCAAGGCCGTTTAGGCAGCATGCAGGCAATTAGCAATCAATCATCCAACCCACCAGTGACCGTTTCTTCTAAGGGGAAGAATTTCTTCATGATTATGTTTCATGTAATTGACCACAAGGCTTATCTTTAGGCTTAATGTTTACAATTCACATTTAAATTACCTTGTATTTGTATTATCAGGGCTGATCCATCATTCTGTAGTTGTGAGCACAGGTTTCTCTTCTTTGATAGCCAACAATGGTTGATGGGATGAATGTTTTTCACACGTATCTGTGAGATGTGCCAACACTTATCTGAAAATTCAGAGATTTGAAATATGTTACAGTAAAAAACAATTGGTAATGAGCAACAATTGACAGGGTAACCAAAGAGTTAAAACGATATCAACTACTAACCATGGCATAACTTATCATATCAACTAATGTCCATCATTATCTGGTTTTTTTTTCAACTTCATATAGGTACTTTCCACTACTCTACCATGTTCTGTTGAATTAAAAGACATAAAATGAGTGTAATACAGGTACATTGCAAATTATAAAAAGGGCAATAAATTTTTTAATTAGGAGGATAATACTGTATGCAGCATCAGAAGGTGGATTCTAGTCAAAACGGCAATAAACCCAAATGGCAATAAGTGAAAACAGCAACACTTTTTTACCAGAACGGCAATGGATCAAAATGGCAATAAGTGACTAAATCAAAATGGCAATAAACCAAAATAATAATAATAATAATAATATTATAATAATTATAATGGCCCATAACAACAACATACATACGAATGAACTCAATAATAAAAAGACTGGGGAAACACAATATCAAAGCAGTAGACATTCAAATAAAAAAATCTTTAAAATACATTGGACAAAATATGAGGCAAAACAATTTATGTACAGTAATTAAAAGTAAAAAAAAAATGCGAAAAAAAGAAAGAAAAATAAATTAATAATAATAATAATTGGCAGGGCCTATGCCCTAGCCTAACCTAGTAGTAGTAGTAGAGTAGGTAGCTAGGCCCCTAGCATAGCGCAAGGCCCTAGTTGTACTAAAAACCAGCTACTACTAGCCTAGCTAGGTTAACTACAGTACAGACAGACAGTAGGCCTAGGGAGGCCTAAGTTAGCTAGGCCTATGTTAGGAGTAGTAGAATGTAAGATAAAAGATAGGGTAGGCCCAGTCTGCCCTGGTTTTTTATTATTTTTTTTACATTAGTATGGTTGTATCGTATTCTTATCTTACCTTTTCTATCGAACACTGCATCATCAGCTGCTGCACCGTCCTAGCTAGGCCTAGGCCTATCAGCTAGCACTGGCCCAGCTAGGCTACGGCTTCGTCGGCTAGAGGCTGATGAAACATTCGATCAATCAAGTTGTGTTGAATATTAAGTCTTGCATCAATGAATTATCCTTTTTTTTTTCTTTTTTTTTTTTATTATTGCTTTTAACACACATAAAACAACATAATATAATATAATGCAATATTACAATACACAATCTCATCTTCTAAAAAATAAATCCAAAACCGATATAATATACTGTACTGTAATATAAAATAAAATTAAAATTAAGTAAAGATTTAACTAATATATACATATATGAGCAATTTCACAGTAAATAGACATGCTCCAAGCAATATTTTTTAGGAAGCTATAACTAAAGATTTTATTGTTTAAAATTAAATATTTTTACATTTATATCATCATATCAATGAGTATACATATTAAAAATCATTTCATGATCACACAATTCACAGTAAAAAATATAATGAAAAATTGACATACTTTTTAGCCATATTTCACCATACAAAAATGTTACATGACAAAAATATCTAAAATTAGATGGAGGATATTTTTTTTAAATTGTATTATAAGGATGGATTCATTATTTCTATAAGAAGCATATTGGAAACTAATAAGATAAAACACTAGAAAGAAAAATAAAACCCTTTTTATTAAAAAAATATGCAATTTGATGGTTTTTTGTAACGGATGTAACATTGTGTGTCAAAATATTTAGGAATTTAAAAATGGCCCAATATTCCTAAAAAAGAAATATATCTGTTACTTTTAAATGTTTATCAAATTAGTGAATATATACAGTAAGAAATAAAAAAAAAAATTGGTAATCATGCATTTTATTTTTGGTGCATCCACAATGGAAAGTCATTGACCCAAATGTATGTCAAAATCCTGTTCGTCTGTGGGAATAGGATTTGTAGTGTATTAAAATACAAACATGCATATTTCTTTTGAAAAGATAATTTAACTATCTTATAATACCCCTTTTCCAAAACATTGATATCATATGTTCTGTTTCACAGAGTTTAGCCAAAATCATCTGTATTCTATTTTTCCATGAAAATGTTAGGATATCATGTCCATTTACTGTGAAATTACTCATATATATATATATGTGTGTATATATATATACATACATATATATACATATATACACATACACACACATACATACATATACATACATACACACATACATACACACACACATACATATATATATACATCTACACACGCACGCACACACATATATATACACACACACACATGTACATATATAAATAAAAAATAAATAAATAAATAAATAAATAAATAAATAAAATTAAAATAAAATTACACACAGAGGGAAAAAAAAAATGTAAAAATTAATTTACCAGTTTCATTTGCAGTACTTTTTCTCTTAAGGCTTTTTTTTTTTTCAATTTTACAGAAAAAGGGGGGGGGGGAGGCGAGAAACATAATATTTCATATATATACATATACACCCACATATACATATATATACATATACATACATTTAAATACATACATATACATACATACATATAAATACACACACATATGTATGCCAACATGCCCACCCATACATACACATATACCTACACACATTTAATAGAACATTTAAACAGCTCTCAACCAATTTCATTCTTTTTTTTTCTTTTGCATAAGTCAAAATTGTAAATTGTAAAGGGAAAAAACAACACCCATTTCATCGTTATTTACTGCTTGTATGTTTATCTATAATATGAATTATCCTTGCTTTGTAGTTATCAGTGAGCAAACCAGCTATTATTGTTGTATTTTGTACCTTAAAATCACAGATATTTGTCAAACATTGGTAGACTCCATTGGTACCTGGTACACACAATCTTGACACAATGAATTTGAATGTGGATCCCAGGGTTGCCAGATAGTCGACAGGCTTCACGGCCAAACACACGCCATCTCACGGCCAAATTCGGCCAAACTTTTTTTCAATATCGGCCAAAATTCGGCCAGATTTTAATCAGATTAGAAGACAGTTATATGGGTACATATTCATTTGAAATACTGCAAAAATTACAGGAAAATCAGGGGCCGTTCGTTTGAAATTGAAGAAATTCAAATAATATACACAGAATAATGTTAAACTTCTTTTAATTAATCTATCACCATAAAATACATGCCCAGCTACATCATAATATTAAATAGCCTAGGCCTAGGCCCTATGTTCTTTAGTTGCTGACGCCCGAAAATAACCTTATGCGTTTGGGCGATCAGTTTTTCTTTTTTTCTTTTTTTTTCACCACTCCCC